CCGCGGGCGGGCGGGCGGGAGGCGGCGGCGGCGCCGCGGGCTTGTGGAGGGGAGCGGGCGCCGCGGATCGCGGCCCGTTGCGCAGGGCTCGAGCGCAGGGACGGAGCGGGGGAAGCGGGGCAAGAGCCTGCGCGGCTGGGCAGCAGCCACCTCGTGCGGGGCGGAGCGGAGCGGAGCGGAGCGCCCCCCGGAACCAGCCCCCGTCTGGCTCTGCCGCCTGCTTGCCGCGGCTGGGCAGCCAGCCTGTAATGAGTTCAGCCTGTTTGACGGTGGAAAACGCAAACTTGTTCTCCTGCTAGCCTTAAATATACTCGGATTTCCCCCAAAGAGCATGTGTGMCTTTAACGGTTCTTATTCCCGGATCCCTTTTTTTAGCCTGGGCTTTGCTCGGTTGTGCTGCCCGGAGCTCCTGCTGCTTGTGACAAGCTCAGCTAGTTCACAAGTGTGGCGGAGGATGGGATGGCTCTGCTGGGCGCGGGATCTGCAGGCGCCCCCGCTTTGCCTTGCACTGGGGCACTGCTAGTAGTTCAGGCTTTAACAGACACCAAAGAAGCTGTGCCAGACTTTAGGTCACAAATAAATAAAATGCCAACAACAACAACAAAAACCCCGGGCTTTGCAGGTCACAGAATTGCTGCTTCCATTTTTGATACAGGTGATTTCTTACGATATTTCAAAACTGCAAGCAACAAGTCTGTGTTAGGTTAAGGCTTGTTCAAAGCTTGATGTAAGGAAACAGGAACTTAGGAAACTCACATAGATAATTTGCATAAAGCAACAAAAAGGAGTGAGAAAAGCTGCATCCCCACTGAAGAAGTATATATCTTAGTCTCTAGTGTCACTCAAGACTGATACTTCTGGAAACTAGCACATAGTTCAAAATAGTAACTAATATCAGGATTTTTTGTCTTTTTTTTTTTTTTTTTTTTCAAATACTTCTCAAATCTTAGTATATTTTTTAAAGGGCAATTTTAAAGACAGAATTCTCTGCTTTTTCACTCTATATTCTTTCCTTGTGCATCTTCATAGCAAGTGAAAGGGGTTCTGGGCAGCAAAAATCCCATCAAGTCCTTTAAGTTGGAGAAAATAACTGAGATGAACTCATCTATAGATGAGCTGATTTGTAAGTTCAGATAATCTTTCAAAATGCTGCAACAGCAGACTGCGTGTATCAAATAAATAGAGACAAAGAATAATATATCCAGCGGTACTCACTTCTATGGTTCAGTCTTATAGGTGGAATGCAGAGTTAACACACTAAGTTCTCTGAAGTCATTCATATTCATAACTAAGGGCCCTGGCAGCTTGCTATTAAAAAAGACCACCACCACTACCAACAAAAACTTTTGTCTCTTTTTAGACAAGGAAGTGGRGTGGACTTAATTTATCAGTTTGAACAGCCATTTGCCTCAAAAATCTCAAAGCTGATCTGTCTCTTGACTTAAGTTTTACTTCAGAAAGGGCATAGATTATCCTGGGTCAGATCTATACCAGCTACTCTGTCATAAATAAATAAAGACCAGTAGCTGCTGTTCAGTTTTAGTACACTTGAGTAGATCATTGCTCTCTCTGGTAGCACAGTGTGATTTAGAGTGATGTAAAGGGAGGGAGAAGCTTATTTTCAGTTACGTTCCTCGGAGAAGCTGCCTGTTTAGGTTCTTACTTCGAGTTGAAAGACATGCAAGTTTCTGTTCGCCTTAGGCTGACTGTTTCGTGAAGCTCAAGCTCGTGTTGCAACGACAAAAGATTTTCTTTTTACTCTAGGTTAAGACTCAGTCTAATAGTTGTGGTTTGAGCTGGGACAAAAGGAGGGGGTGTTCCCAAATGAGTGCTGACAAAGCTCGGGCTTTTGTCTCCGCCTTTAGAGATGACAGAAATGGCCTTTGTGCCTCATATTTTGACAGCTAAATTTTTGCTAACATAAGTTACACAGATTTTAAGGAAATAAAAATACCAGCTCGTTGTAGATGTTTGATGGTTTAACTTAGCTAAAATACCAAGAAGATAGTAGTATTTACCATAAAGAGTAAGGGATAAAAACTCTTCAGGAAAACTGAAAAAAAAAGCCTTTCTGTTTGCTTGTCTGTGATGAACAGATTGAGTTTGAGGGTGACAAAGACACCTCTGAGGACAGCTCTGACACCTGTGAGGAATTTCTGTCTCCAGCATTATCTGGACTTCCAGATGTAGACGTTTTCAGCAAAATTTGCACATACTTCTTCCATGTAATTGACCGCACTTTGTTGGATATGAATAGACTGCAGTTTGTAAGTTGGGAACCTTAACATACTTTAATGGACTTTTTTTTCCCTGCACCCGCAGCCTTCAGGACAACTTAYTGAAGGCAGCAATGGAACGATTTGGAGTGAAGTCGCCCCCTTCCCGGAACCGCTCCAAGACTGCCCTGTACGTGACGCCTCAGGATCGTGTAACCGAGTTTGGCAGCGAGCTGCACGAAGACGGGGGGAAACTGTTCTGTACCTCCTGCAACGTGGTGCTCAATCATGTCCGCAAGTCGGCCATCAACGACCACCTCAAGTCCAAAACGCACACGAAGCGCAAGGCGGAGTTTGAAGAGCAGAACGTGAGGAAGAAGCAACGGACTCTGACTGCCTCCCTTCAGTGCAACAGCACTGCTCAGACAGAAAAGAACAGCGTCATCCAGGACTTTGTGAAAATGTGCCTGGAAGCGAATATTCCGCTGGAGAAGGCCGACCACCCGTCCGTGCGGGCCTTCCTGTCCCGCTACGTCAAGAACGGCAGTTCCATACCCAAGTCGGACCAGCTAAGGAAAGCCTACCTGCCCGACGGCTACGACAACGAGAACCAGCTCCTCAGCACCGAGGACCGTTGAGAAGAAAACTCTTTTCCATCGTCGTTGTGAAGTTTTACCTATTGATGGCGTCGTTTATTTTTATATCCATGCATATATACAGTGTTACATATTGGTTTTACAAGCTATTTTGTATTCTTGTAGAAATGACAATCCGTTTGTGAACTTAGTGACGTGCCGCCCGCTGTCGCTAGCCCTGCTGTGGACTTCAGAGCTGCCTCCATGCAGAACTCGCAGCGACRCGGGGAGCAGCCCCGGCATCCGCCCTGCCCGCGTCGGGTCCCGCCGTGGGAAAAAGGCACTTGGATGGAGGACCTCGCTTGCCTCCGCTGCGCATCTCTGTGCATGGAAGAGGATGGGGTAGCAACGGGTAGTTGCATCCGTGGATGGCTTTGTGCAGGATCCTGCCCGTGGCTGGCCGAGAACAAGTACTGCACGCTTGAAGTGCAGGAAGCTGTAGAATGGTTTGTTAAAGCATAACGGATATTTGGGGGGAAGATTATTGATAATTCCTGACAAAGTTTGGTTTATGTTCTAAAAGAGAACACTTTTTTCTTCTGGAATACTGTTATCCTATCAGATACCACTGTGTATTCATTATGCAGCTTAACAGCCTCCCTCTTGTAAGGAGCTCTGGACTTCACTATGCTCGTAAGCAAGGAGTTCTGCCGGTTCCCCATGCACACTTTTTAAATCACCATTCCCTTTTCTCAGTTTGACTTGTTCGCTTTTGTTTCAGTGCCAATCTTGGAATATTAAATTGACAAACTACTAAGTGTGTGTGGTTTGCAATGCAGCTGCTGGCCAATGAAAAATTACATTGGACCAAGATGGAGGTGGAGAGAATTAATGCCCATTTCTTTTTTGCTGGACAAAAACCGGCAAACCTAAACCTAAACTGGACAAAAACTGGTGAACCTAAACTGGGGGTAGGGGAGGCAGGAGGTAGTGGAGTTGAGCAGGCCTGTGATGGTGCCTGGAAAAGGGGCTTCTCAGTCTCTCCGTGGTGGTCGTTTACTTTTCTGATCTTATCTTCATTCTTCTAATCAAAGGAGGCAAAGTGATTAAAATAGTTTTCAAARTAGTTACTGCAAAGGCTGTTCAGTATCTGCAGGCACGACTAGGAAAGCTTTGAGGCTACAGTGGAAGTACAGACCGGTGTTATATTTTCTTTTCTGTGCCAAGACCATATTTACTGCAAAGGAAAACTGAAAGATTTTAATAATGTTGCCCTCTATTAATCTAATAAATTACCACTAAACTATTTCCAAGCTACTATGCCAAATAATCCACTCAACATCAGTGGTCTATGAAGTTTTTGAATTCGAGGAGGGAGTATTGTGCAAGGTGTGGGGACACGAGCAACTTCTGCCTGCCTCCTTCTCTGGATTCCCCTTAGAAACTCTAGATAAAGGAGATGCCAAGCATGTCCTAGTAACAGAAATCCTTCACTCCGTGGAATGTGCTTTATCTCTCCCTCAAATAGAGCTGGTGGTTCTGTTCAGCTTCCTTTCCCCTCACAAAATTTCACAGCATTTTACTCTTTTTGTCTTAGCAAAGTTAGTGAATTGCTAAGAAACCTGCAGTAAACCGTTTTATTTTGTTTCTGTGCAGATGCCAAGAGCAGAGCATCTCTTTCCGGATTAAAACAGACTTACATAGTGTATATGTACACTGAGGAGGTGTGCTTGTTTTACAGTGTAACCATTTTTTGCAGCCTTCTGTTAGAAGAGATGTTTGTGTAGTTGAAAAACCAACAACTAAACAAGCCAAGCAGAAGGCTGCCAGTCCCTGAGTGTCGGCACACAGGTGCCGGGCACCCTGCTGCACCTGCAGTGTCTTCCGCGGGTGGCAGGACTCCGTGCAGTCACAGCAGCCCTGCCGAGGATGCTGGTGTCTGCTTTAGATCTTAGGCCAGAAGTAACAGAAGCATTTCCCCCCCCCCTTTAATCCCACATATCAAAATAGAGCTTCCCCCAAATCATTTGCTATTGGGCAAACTTGGGTTTAGCTTAAGATCATGAGCTGCCTTGGGCTACTACTGTTTCATAAATCCTCTRAAGGCAAGTGAGAGGTACACTGCCAAGAGCTTTTTTTCTGCCCCAAGAATAACTGCGAGTCTTTTTGCTATTGCAGTTKCAGTGGAGGGAAACAACATCCTTGCCCTTCTGTTTGCTTCGTTCTAAAGCTTATAAATGCTGTCTTAGACTTGGAGCAAACAGCAAACAATGCAGTATTGAGGAAACAAGCTCCCATTAAAACACGAGCATTAGGGGGGAATGTATGTATGATGGGTGTGAATCTGAGCTGCTTAGCTCAGTCCTTGCTAACTGGGAGATTCACAAGCTGAATCACAACCATTTTATATACGGTTTAGCAGGTAGTTAGTTTTCTGCTAGATTGGCAGACTGACAGACAYGTTGAAAAGCTTAATGACAAGCTTATCATTAAATATGCTCTTGATCAACTGAGAATGATCTCAGGTGTGATGAAGATGTTTATTTCAGATGAAGGTGTTTATTTCAAAGTAAACAGTTAACAATATAAGCAACTTTTGCTTAAAAAAACAGTTATCTTCAATAGGGCAAAAACAACATCTAGTGTTTCAAAAGCTTGCTCTCCTTGTAACGCAAAAATCTATATATAGAACCTCCATTTACTGAGTTAGTAACATTTATTTTTAATGCAGATGATACCACCCTCCAGAGAAACCTCATCGGTGTAGCCATAGACTTCTGACTTTTAGCAGTTTGGAAATAAAAACAGAGCATCAAGATTTTGAATGGAACTGCCTTAATCTGGACTTATTTCAAATGTACAGCAGCTTATGGGACAATGATGGCTTAACAATAGGATACTTATGTTAGAAATAAAAAAAAMCCCAGGGGTTATAAAAATCAAATACTGAATCATTACAGGAAACGCCCACAGTGGAATAAAGCAATGAAAAATGAAGCACTTGTAGATAATCTCAAAATAACAATGTACAAGTGAGTTTATATTTATCACCAACACCAACTATCAACAAGACAGTTATACTTATTTTCTTTTAAAACAAAAGTGGTTCCACTCAGTCTTGGAACTGAATTCTGCAAATGCTCAGGTTCAAACCATAATTTTGTCATTGTAGCTGTAGTTGGACAAAGCATAACCTTAGCTTCATTATTACTGATCTTTGGGAAGTTTGACAATGGAAGTTACTTTCTGTTATATCAAAGCCCAAGTAATAACAAATTCCTAGAAAAGAGACTGTGGTTTAAGTTGTTTAACAGTCTCTATGGGGTTTTCCTTTTTCTTTAAGGGCACTGCATTATTTTGCCATGTATTTCCTGTAAAGAATATTCTCAAAAAGAGGACAGTACAAACTTCTGCTTATATAAGGGCTAGCTTTAAGGGATACTTTTCTGCCAGCTGATCTTATTCATATATTTGAAGTTCGAAATGAACTTAAAAAGAAAACCAAAACAACCTACTCTGACCATGTACTTACATTAGTTTAGCCTATGACGGCTAATGTGACTTTGAAGTGCTATTCTTAGAACGACACTTTCAAGGACTGAAGTACGAGACAAAACCAATACTCTCCATTTTGTGACTCCTTAGGTGTATGTGCCGTGTTAGTTCCGGCTTGCACATTCCTGGAAAACCATAAACAAAGTTCTAATACTTYAAGCATTTCGAAGCCTTTAAATTAGCTGGTCATTAGAAGAGGTGAGACATTYGACACAATGGAAGGAAAAGCTGTTTTTCGATAGAGAGAGAAACTTGATTCYGCAGAGTATGGGATATTCTCATGATAGAAGGACTGTTTTTAGTCTGCCCCCCCCCACTTTGGTGATTCTGTTGAACTGAACAGTGAAATACTCCCTGCTAGGTTTTACAGCATAATGAGCATTTTTTCAGGAAAAGAAAAAGAAGAGCTGGAGGTCTGGCAGGGRTGATCTCTATTTATATTTACATATAGCAAGAGGCAAAACTCAACTGTTGCTGTGTCTCCATTGTACCCATTGCTAACTCTTTGTGTAATTCGAGTGCTTGTTGTCTTTGTACAATTTTAAAGTTGTGTCTAACTTTCAAAATAAATTTTTTTAAACAAAGCTTCTCATCGTAAGAATGCTATTTAGATTTCAGTCTGTTTGGGGTTAGTGAACATACTTTATTTTTATTTTGGAAAGAAGGCTGTTTTGCTAATAGTAAGTGGCTYGCAGGAGTGGTTTTACTGAAAGAAATGATGGACTTATGATTAGATACGGGAGTGAGGCTGAAACTATCCCAGTTCAGTTTCCTGCAGTGCCACAGGACTTCCTATTAGAACGGTAAGAACAGAATAAGCAATTTAAGTTTTTATATTAAAATATTATTGGAAGAGAAATGCTTTACTTTGTAAAGTGTTCATTTGGTAATGGAAAAAAATATAGTCCTTTTTTAAAATAAAGGAATACCTTTTTCATAGAATTTATGCATGATCTCTTATTTTACCAAGAGGATGGACAAGGTAATTGTGGCAGTTCACATTTAAAGGGCAKGCAAAGTAATGAAAATGGATGCTGGCAAGAAAAATTAAAAATAGACCATGCCATTGTTAATGTAGCTCTGATTTTGAAGCAGTTTGACTGTTGATGTACCGATACAATCATACTCAAATCTGTGTTTCAGGAGAGATCAGCCAGAACCCCTCTCGCCAGTCAGGAACTCACTTCCCTCTTCATCATGACCAAGGTTCCCTGATGGCGCCTTCTGCTGCAAGGAGAGTCTGAGGGAAATAGCTAAGGTTAAGCATTTTGACATGGCACTAAGTGATTTGTAGGAATAGGGTCTTTTATCTTCTTAATGCCGCGGAAAACCCTTCCTGAAAAGGTCTGAAAAATAAAAGAGCCTGCCAAAGAGGTCAGAATTTATAGACTTACTTCATGGAAATTGAGCAAATATATCAGCTGATCAAATCAAGTATAGGTTGAATATGCAAGACCCTTTTCCCATGTTTTTGCCTGGCCTGACATCTCGTGGATCAAGGAAAAATAAACTCCTGACACCTCGTGACTGATGAATTTATCATTTATTTCTCATCTTCATTCATTTTCTGCTCACAGCTCATGAAGATGAAGAAGCTTTTTGTTTCCTTTACACCAAACGGAAAAGAAAAGCTTTACAACAAGGTACATCTTTCCCACATTGGCACTTCTGCTTTGAAACCCACTGTTTGTACTTGCAAAATTAACAGTAAGGATTTGCATGGAAGCTGTTGCAGAATCAGGTGAAGCACAAAATTAAAGTGCAAAACTCCTATGACAACATTTTATTTCCCCAAGTGAATCATGCGGCTTAGCCTTATACGAGATGGAGGAAGCTGGTGTGTACAGTAACTGCGTTCAGGCTGTGCTGATCTTGACAACTAGGGCCAGCGTTTGCCATTTACCTAGGCTGGGTGGGAAGACGTGGAGGACAGACCAGCTGTGGAAGCTCTGCTTAAGTGASTGGGTCATTTTTCCTGTGCATCCCTCCACTTCTCATTTCCTGCAAGGCATCTGGAATTTGGGGGTCTTCTGGTAGCATGGGCCGTTTCCTCTCAAGGACACAGAAGCAGAGAGTCCAGCCCAGYAAAAAGGCTCTGAGGTGCAGTACAGAAACTGCCACTCCTGTTGTCCATGGGTGGCTGAGGTAGCCGCAGCATACAGCATTTAAAATCATTCTTAGGTATAAAATAGAACAATTTGTGTAAGTGTGTAATACATGAGTGCTGAATTCCGGGCTGTACCCTTTGGAGTTTAGGATTCTTGAAGCCCATCATTACTATAAGTTGAATCAAATAAATAAGCCACCCAGCCCATACAATCAGTGAAAATATTTATATGTTGGGACTAAACTCTTAACCTACTCCATCCTGAGTGGACAACGGACACCGCATGCGAGAGCATTCAGGTCCCATGCATAATCCGCCCTTAAACTGATGTAAGGTATTTTTATAGCTTTGCTCGTTTGTTAAACTGAGCTTGCTCAATGGAAGCAGGGAGATACTGAAAAATCTCACAATGCAAGAAAAAGGAAAGAGCCTGCATYGAAATGAGGTGGCTGATCTCTCCACAAGCAGAGATACACATGGACAGGACACGAAGATGGGCAAGAGGGACCACCCGCTCCTGCAGCCTGTAGTGAAAGGCAARGAAGAACATGAGAGAGCCTGTGTGCACAGACAGGCTAAACTATTGCTCTGCTTCTTGAAGAGATTAAAGCTTCCTCATGCAAGTGTTATGAGGGTAATTTTCAGCAGGCTTACTGGACATCTGAATGCTGTAACCCACTGCACAAGTCAGAGCAGAAGTCTAACAACCTGGAAATAGAGGGGAGGAAGAAGAGAGGGAAAAAAAAAAAAAAAAAAGAAAAAAGGAAAAAGAGAGAAAAANAAAGAAAAAAGGAAAAAGAGAGTAAAACCAAAACACAACCTCGTCTCTTCAGAAGAAACAAACTAAGATGGCATTAAAGAAAGAACATGACAAAGATGTTTCCCTCACTTGCCTTCCGTGAAGCAGACAGAACAAACTGTACTGAATGAGATGGGTTTCTATCATGAGCAATCTTGAGATGTTTAAGACTATCTAAGTAAGTTTTACTACATACTTTTGGAACCACGTCCAACACATACCAACATAACAACTAGCCAAGCTCTGTACTGCATTGAATTCTCATTTCTTTAAGTACTGGGTATCTAAGAGGATTCAGCTGAGGTTGGATTAGTGCACTGCAAACAAGTTGCTGCAGATGCTGGGAGTCAGTGCCCTCTAGTGACATTTTTCTTGACGTATTCAAATGGTCTTTCAGCTTGAAAGAAGTCTTATAAGCTCAAGTATTACTTAAAGTATCATAAGACAAGTATTATTTAAATATAAAGTAACTATTAACTTTAAAACATAACTACTTTAGTGTTTTAGTGGCCCACACCCAGGGACTGACTTTTTCCCCTCCCCTTCCCYCAGAATTAGGATGTACTCCCACAATGTTACCTACACGGTATCTAACCAGAAAGCCAGTCTCAAAACACTGACAAAGCTTCAGTTAGTAACAAAATATTTAGTCCCAAGCCGTTGCTAGCTCTCCCTTCTCCTTGCTCAAACAAGTSCCTCACCCTTACACTTCTTCTGCAAAGTCGAAGAAAACTCAAACTTATAAAAAAGGTAAATAGGACAGAAAYAAAACAATTAAAATACGAAAAAAATCCCAAGAGGAAAACACTTTTCAAAAAGTTTAAGAACCACTAGAAATTGTCAAGGCTTTTAAAATAAGCTTAAATTATTATTTTTTTTAAGCTGCGTTAAGGTAGATACCAAAATATAAGCAACAAAGTTGAATCCTGAACATATGTCCATTTATGAATGATGGTTTTAACTGATTGCTTGCTTCCTAGTTAAAATTTAAGTTTTCTAGTAAGGAAACAAGTATCAGCTGCCAGTGCTACATGTCTAGCATGAACTTTGGTTAACACAAGCTACGCTGTAAAGAAACATAACCACCAATTTTATTATCTAAGTTTGCCACTGGGTGTCCTCACTACACAGAAATGTTGATCTCCAGCACTCGTTTTCTCCTCCCTTTTAATCATTGTGTGTAACTGTGCTCAAGAAGTTCTCTTTCCTTGAGGCTGTACTGTGATATTGTTTCTGAAGCCATTTCATACCTTCCTGTGCACGTCAGTACACRATCCTGCTGATCATTGTGGACTGAGCTAGGTACCTGTAGCCAGGAAGTTTTGACAGGCCATATCATTATTTTCTCTAAAAGGCTACTTTGGAAAAAATCCTCGTTAAAGACTTCACTAAAGCATATTGTATGTATATTATAACATAGAATTTCCTAACTGCATAATGCTTCCCTTCTTTCTCTTTGTGGTTTACATTATAAGTAGCAATAGTGACTATATATGATGCCTGTATAAAGACTGTATTTGCTTGTTTCTAACTTTATGAGAAGCAGAATTTGGGAGAAGATAGAGTTAAATGGTGCTTTAGAAATATTTAGATGTTTCTGAAGGATATAGGGGAAAAAACATCCTGATTATGCTGGCAAAAGAACCCAAACCATATTACTTARTATCTCCATAACATATGTCCAAAATTTGGAAATAGGGGAAAAATCATGTCTCATGCTCAACATTATTTTAAATTAATCTAATGCAGATCGAAACCATTCAGACAGATGTCTGACATTTCACAACTTATGAATAATTAATTTATTCAACTTTGAGAATAGTTTTTCTTTTTTATTTAATATTATTTGAAATTGAGGCTGAATTAAAGTAATGCAAAAGCAATGGGAAAAAAAAATCGAAAATAGCATTGTGTAATATACAGATATCTTGCTGCTTGTAAACTGAAATCTCAGTCAGAGATGGTGCTTGTTGCACGGTGAAGGGAGCGAGTGGAGGGGGAAAGACGTTTTCCCTCGAATTGCAGAGCAGTTCCGAGACTCTGTGAGGTGATCTGAGTGGTTCATGGTTCAACCACACAAAAAGACTCCCGAGGAACCCATGAGATTTGTGCACCCTCTGTCGCCTCTCCACCCCTTTCTGTGCCTGCTTGACTGGAGGAACTAGAGAGAGGAATCAGCTCAGACGTGCACCATGGGTAAAGCTAACAGGATGTACGAGGCCATCTGAGCTGCGCTTTTCAAACCCACAGGTTTAAACCTGTGTAACCCCTCCTATCTCTACCATGCCCAGCAAATGAAGGGACCACCAGTCATGTTTCTGAAAAGGATTATAATTATAGTGCACATCCTTCTAGTAGTGCTGGCTCAGAGCAACTATCAAGCTTACGGTAAGATGCAGTTTTGCAACCTGTCTTTAGTTACCTCGTATTGGCGGCGGGGTTGGGAGGGGAGATAAAACACAAGCCAAAGCAATAATTAATCATACTTTGAACATAAATTATTCTCATGTTGGAGACTCCTAAGTTGATTAAAGGTGATGATGAAGGGAATAATTGAGAAATGTTGTTAAGTTACTACCTAGACCAAAACTTTGACGCTTAGTGACCAAATGCCTCTAACTCTGTRGCCGAAGGCTTTGCCTTGCACAGTTTTCAAACTTCTGCATGAAATCCAGGAATTCTGCTAGCTCTGAAGTGGGTCCAGGTAACAATCAAAGCAGCCTCACCAGATCGTTAAGTGCCACTTCAATCATTTCATTTAACACAGCCTAACTTCCATGGCACTTTGAACTTTGAAAGGCCACAGTTTTTAAATATAGAGGTTTTCCTAGCTCAGATTGATACGATTCCTACACTGTATCCAGCTCACTCCTTGTATTTTACTGTGGAGATTATTTTGATTTGAGCTCTTCCATGCCATTTTCGTACATGTTTCATAAACGTTAAAAGGAAGGAGGTCATACATGAAAGCATGATAGCTATGGGGACGGATGTGCTTGGCTGCTGTTGATTTATTTTAGGCACATCAACAGATAACATTATAAAAAAATTAAAGGCAACATTTGTTGCAAGATACTAGTACCATTATACAAAACAATTTGAATGGGAAATGTAAATCTTAGTTAAACATGAAAGACTAATACACATAGTGCCCTGCATGCATCTTTTTTGATGAATAAAACACTTCGCTATCACTATAGGAAAGGTTAAATGCACATTCATTGCACCTACCTGGCAAGTGAAATCCAAAGGTTAGGGACAATTAGATGCAGCCTTTTTCAAATAAACAATAAATAAATTGGAGTATGAGCTGAGCTCAGGCAAGCTACTGAATTGCTGCACATTTGAATTGGCTAAGCTAACATTCTTCTCAAGGCGGCGTGTCCAGGGCCAAGAAACTTCTTCCTCAGGGGAAGTCTGTTCTCTTCTTTTATGAGCTTAGCTATTTAGCTGCCTTATTATTTTTTTCAGAACCTCTCTGATCACCTGTCTGTGCTATTCAGTGCAACTCATAAGCACATGAGTGAACTTTTCCATATTCACCTACCAGGAATCTAAACACTGCTCTTAATACAGGAAAAATATTTCTACCAATGTAGAAATACAATACGTACCTTGTTTACAAAGAGATTAATCTATTTCAGTGGGTTTTATTCTTTGAGCTACAACAAAATTACTTCACGTTCTTTGAGAACTATTTCTATATTTATATGATACTTCAAATATCTGAATCATACGTGTAGGCATAAAGAAGGAAAAACTTTGCGAATCAGTCTTTACAGAATCTTGTTTTAAATATTTTATTTTTAATGTAGGTTTCCCAAACTTGTCATTATTTTTTGCTTTTGTCAAAAGTAAACTGCACATTTATGGTGGACAGAGTTCTATTGTCAAATAACAACTCTGCTAGCACACCTCGTTGTTGGATAATCTGCAAATTTTAATATGCAAAGTAAGAATTCAAATAAATCAAAGTAGTCAGATTTCAGCCATCAAGGCATCCATTTTCTGTGCTATCGTAGCTTTCATCATCAGGTAGTTGCAACAGTGATGTAACTGCCTGCTATCTCAGCCACCTTAATGAGTGCTATCACTAAGGCAAACCCTTCACTGTTCACAGCTGAGAGCAAATACATATGAAACATCGCTGTATCTTTAATGAAAGATGAGAAAAATTAAGTGACCAGCTCCAAAGTTAAAGTTCTAATAACAAAATGTAAAATGACTTTGAGTATGGGAAAAAACATTAAATTTATGATTATGTAAAATGACTAGGATAAAACTCAGTGGTTTCTCTGAGAATGGAAAGAAGTCTTATTACCTATATCCAGGCAACACTAGTATGATATGCTGTAGTGCTCCTTTTTCTAAATACATCTCCCTAAATTCAAGGGGGTAACATATTTTTCCCCATTAATTTCTCCCCTTCCTTCCTTAAAATTATGAGAGTCATGAAGATCTTAAGATTATACTTGAATTCATAACAAATTTATGTTTTTCTGCTGTATTTTTTTGTATGATAATCTGAACCGAAACTTCCAGGAACGTTGCAGCTGAGCTAAATGCATTGTTAATGCTTCATTGTGTTCACAGACAGATGGAAAAACAGGATCAAAACTAACTATAGTCATTTATTTTTCATGACTAATTGACATTTTATACATCAGCCATTATCTGCCTTTGGGATATCATACCTATTCCTTGTTCCCCTTTAGAAGGAGAGAAACAATTAAAAAGATACATTCTTAAAATAAATAAATAAATAAATAGCCTCTAGAGTTTCAAATGGAAAGTCTTAGTTGTCTTTTTTTCATTGTTTTTCATTCATTTTTAAGAGTTCTTAAATGACCAGGTGTGAATGATACACCTTTTGCAATCTAAGAATCAGAATGCTCAATTTTTACCTATTATTTTTCCACCAATGATCTGGAATAGATGAACATATATCCATCTACATTAGTCATGTTCTATTTGCATAATGAATCTTGTCAGGAATACATTTTCTCCAAAGCATAAAACAGTGAGATAAACTAAAAAAAAAAGAAATAGTCAAAATAGAGTTAAAAGAATTGTCACAAGTGTTTCCCTGTTGCCTAAGTTCTAGAATATATCCCTTTGAAACATTACCCCTGCAAAGCACATTACAGAAAATTCTCCTATCCTCTCGAAATCATGGGGATAGGCTGCCAATGCAGCCTATCCAGGAAGAGGCTCCATTGTTTTAGAAGAAAACTTGCTTTTTAGGCAGTTCAAAACTTACTGAGGACTGTACATTAGAAGCCACTACATAAACTTCCACTTTCATCCTCTTGAAAGCTGCACAGATATCTTTATCATGACCACCCCTACTTAATGTATTAAAAACTTGCATTTTAATATGTCACCTAGAAACAAGCCATACTTCCAGGTCCCAGTTTCCAAGAGTGTTCCAGAAAGCATAACCATATTCATCCCAGAGCGTGCTTGCACACATAGAATACAGTTGGCAGTCAAATATGCCCCTAAAATTGATTTCTCCTACACTACTGTGGGTAACAGACAGGAAAAATTAAGATACATTATCACAGAAAAAATACACCAGACCACATTCAAGCCTGGATGACAGTGGAAGTTTGTGAAGTTTGGTCATCTTTCTAACGGCCACCAAAAGTAGAACATAAAGTTCTCTCTTAATCACGCATGTTGCATTGTCTTGTTAAAAGAAAATATAGTCTAGGACAACACGGTTTATACTGGAACTTAAACTCCAAATCTTTAGCTCTGACATCTATTACCAGTGCTAAAGAGTCCTTACAGAAAATACATTAAAGATAGCTTGAAATTTCCCCTTAGGAGTTGTATTCTGTATAAAGAAAATTCCAAATCTTTTCTTTATTTCTAGAGTTTCTTATCCACTTGAGACTTTTTGCCAAGTTGGATGTGATGAAAGAAAGAGGAAAGGTTCACAACGTATTATGAATTCCAGCACTGAACTAATATGGGATATGGAGTGGATTATAGAAAAAGCTTTCCTCTATCCCAAATTTTTAGTTATTGTACATCAAAGAAACTCAAACTAAGAGTTTCCTAGAGTCTGAGAAAAGTGTTCTGTAACTCTTATTCAGTTATCTTCTGATAATATTACTGTCCAGGGCCTCCAAATTTCCTTACAAAGAGGAATAAATGGTAACCAAGCACTAAGCTTGTTAATAATAATAATAATAATAATAATAATAATAATAGTAATAATAATGACACCCATCAGTCAATCACAAGAGCATGCAAAAGAAACTTTTTTTCTCTCTGCTCTGATCATTGTTTTGTATCAAGCTATAAACAACAGAATGGCTAACGTGGGCAGCCTAAAAAAAAAAATGGTTTAAGTCTCCTCAAAGAGAGCCCATTTGGGGCTCTGGAAAAAGCCTACAACATTTTCACATGCATTCAAAGCTAAACAGTAGTTTCTATAGCTCCTGGTTAACAAGTTGAAAAGATTACTCTATTTGATAGAGAGARAAAAAAAAAGTCACCAAATAAAATGATTGCATTACTGTATTTTCCGAACAACCCCAGACTACTCCCAAGGGACAGACAAACAACAGCTAAGAAATTTAATGCAACTTTCAGCAAGATAAATATTTTGGAAAACAAACAAACAGCCTGGCAAAACGAAAAGGAGAGGGGAGGGAAATGGAAAACAGGCATGTTGAAATCYGCCAACCCAAACTCTCCCAATTTTCCAGAAAAAAAGCCAGAGCTGCTTTATGTGTGCGGGCTAGTTAACAGTAGGCTGCRAGGCATTTTCCCACATGCAGGTCCCCAAACTCAACCATATATACACCATAGGTAACCTTATGGAGGGAGTGAGGGACATGGGACTCAGGCCAAGTAGACAGCAGGGAATCCAGTTTGCTTTGGTAACTACATATCAATTAACCAAGCCAGATTACATCAGAATGACACTCTTAAAGTGAATAATCACCGAAGAAACAGGAACAAAACTGCAGCACGTATTGGCATAGGTACTTGAAGGGGGAAAAACATTACTTAGGCTCTCCTAGGAAGCAAATTAGCATATTTCATCTCAATTCTCTTAAAATATACTATGTGATCAAAAAATTTTGTGAGTAATCTCACCCCCAAGGGATTTTTTCCCCCCAGCATTGTTGGTAGTAGTGGAGGAAGTTTTAGGGAGGGATTTTTTCTTTTTTTCTTTTTTTTTTTTTTTTGGCACGCTGTGTTAACAGCCTGTGTGTGTTACACGTGCTCTATTTAAGTCTTTCATCTGTAGAACAAGGAGTGCATAAAACTGCTTTAGAAGCATATCCAGACATACATAAGGCTTCTGCTCCAAAAATATCAATATTGCCACACAGGATACACACAGGGACAATTCATACCAGTCTATGTGCCTGCATTCATCTACTTGCCTCAGCCAAAGAGGTTCTGCCACTGAACCTCTAGGTTACACTGAAGGTTAGTCTAGGTTACACTGACAAGTGCAAGACAATCATTTCTTTAGCATGTTACTTAGCAATGACTAACCTATCTTAGTCCTTAAATTCCTACATATCTAGCATTAATCAGAATTTAACAGTGTTAGTACCCTGCTCTAGGTGGATACTCCTAATTGGCCAAATTTGATAAGGTGATTCTTTCAAGATTAACAGTGATTTATATCTTTTCATAAAAGTACCAGATGACTTGAAAGAAAATATGAAATCCCTGCAGTGAAAAGCTTAAGGTTACAATGAAGTAGGTAGACAGGCCCTTTTCACTACTTGTGAAGTTCATTAGCAGTAAGTACTATACTTCTTGCAAAGTATAACAGATAGTTTCTGGAGATTTATCTTCCGCAACAATCATTGCTCAAATAATTGAAACCTCTGCTTTCTCATTAGAGCTCTGTGCTTCCATTTTCACACTGTTGCCAGCTACATGCTGCTATTGCAGTACGACTTCAGTCACTATGACCTACTCACCCGGATCCAAATCCCTGGGCAGTGCATCCATGTCCCAATGGTAAATATGGCTAGGCTACATGTTTCAGCTATTGCTACCACAGCCATACAGACCAGACCTCCGAGACCAACTCTTCCAGTGCACCATGCATTTCTTTCTAATGAGGAGCTCCTACTGTGGTATTGCACGTGAGCCTCAATACTTTCTGTGGTTCATTGCCACAGGTCTTCTCCAGCAACAGGACTGCTGCATTAGGAGCACATGCCAGTGCATCTCTGCCAAGTTTTTTCATAGGCATTTTTTATCCTTTTATCCATGAATTTAACACATGGCTAGATGTWGCCAACAGGCAGGTCTGTATTGAACATTAAGGGATTAGTTAGTCCCAAGAGGACTTGAGCCCAACACATTTCAGTCTTGCTCAGCTCTTAAAGCTGTCAGTTGTCTGCCACCTCAACAATCTTCCAAAAAAAATTAGTTCAAGTATTTCACTGTTTTTATTATTAGGAAGCTTTTTATACTATGTAATACTATGTTACTTCTGTTACTTCTTTAACTTCTGTTACTTCTGTTACTTCTATGTAATACTATGTTACTACTGTTACTTCTTCAACTCCATCTTAAACATGAAAAACAGATTACTTAATTTCTCTTTAATGTCTTTACAAGTTTTTATTACGTCATTTTCTCTGAAGCTTTTTCTTTCAATTAAGCAATACCAAAAATTTCAATCTGTTGTTTAGGTCCATCTTACCATGTTCATGATATCATCTGTCTTCTGTTCAATTCAGAAAGACTCCAWACAGTGTCCTACATCTTTGAAGAACAATGCCAAACACTATTCAATAACAAAATACCACCTTCCATTCTTGAGTAAAACACAAAGATTATTCCATATATCCTGTTTACTCTGACTTTGGTCATACTTACCACAAAATGACTGTTTCATCACAGTATAATCTCTTCTCTATTATCAATGAATTTCAGGCATATACAATTTGGCAATATTGGAAACATATTAAAGAACAGTAGGTTTAGAGGCAGATCAATGATTCTAATTTATAAACACCTGTTGCCAGAGTCATTTTAACAAAGTAAAATTAAAAAAAAAACAACATTAACAAAGTGTTAGCTCTTCTGCAACAAAGAATATGAACAGACAACATGATTTATGGTGTGAAATAGCAAGAAATTTACTGAGGAAGGGCTTGCAAAGCAGAGGAATCTGATGTCTATTTGTATGGAAGCTCATAACCTTGCCATCTTAGGTTCCTGAATACACTACTTATGCATCACAAGAAACGCTGTATCACATGCATAAGATATCCTGGCTGATTGTGCAGGTGACAGATTGCGTGAGACATTCACATCTCACTGTTTAGATGTGCTGGCTACCCTGCAGTCCAGCAGCTCCTGGCAGATACACGCTTCCCCTTTCTCCACTGTTCTCTCCTCCCACACACATTTCTCCTACCTACAAAACTTTTTTTTATTGGATTTTACCTCTTTTTTTTTTTTTTCCTATTTCCCTCCCTCAGCCAGAAGATATAGGTATACCTAATCTTTTCTTTAGACATGGACAGCGTAGGAAAGAAGAGAGCACTTTGGTATCACATAGTTCTCATTATTTTACTTAGCCAGAGAAATTAAGGATGACAAGACAAAAGAATCTTTAATAAAATAATGGGACATTCAATACCAAGACCCAGAGTTAASATATCTTACCAGAACACTGAGTTTAACAAAAGTTTAGAAAATCAAGAAAAAAAGATAAAGTAATGAAATGTATATATATTTTAATTGCTCTAATTACAACAGATCTCTATGGAAGAGTAATATTTCCTTCTGTAAATTAGCACGAATTATAAAGAAAACAATGATCTGAAATAAATCTAAAAGTAAAATCAAAGGTCTGTGTAAAGTATGACACAGGAAATCCTGCCATGTGTATTTTGCATGTTTTTCTAAGCCGTTCAATTCCAAACTTGGCTAAGATACAGACAAAAAAAATCATATCAGAAGGAGGAAGTACCTTTCAGCAACCATGCTTAATATGAAAGAGACAATAGTTAGCAGCCCTTATCTGCTACCAATGTCCTATATACAGAGAAGATCTGGAAGGAGACAAGGGAAGTCTCAAGCACTGAGAGAGTAAAGAGACAGTGATTAGTGTCATGGGGCTTATATAGCAGAAAAACRGAACCTTGACATTTTTTGACATGTTTTTCTTTTGTTCCAGAATTTGATGACACTGATTGTCCTGTTGAAATTCAGGTTAAAAGAAACTCCCAGTACACAGGTTATCTTGGGAGCTCCTTAGTTATCTACTGTCCGGTTCATTACTGCAAGGAGAGGCCTGTCATGAAGTGGTGCAAGATAGAAGGGAATGAATGCGTGCTGCTGAAAGACAGCAAAGTACTCTGGAGGACCCACAAGAAGTTTATTCTGGAGTTTTTCTCAATTCATCACAACGACAGTGGCACTTACCGTTGTCGAGCGACAGCAGGCACCTACGCCAGCGAGAGCCATGGGATAAGGGTAGTTGTTGAAGGTGAGGCCCTCTGTCATGAAAGAAACCTTTAAAAAATGAATTGCATGTGCAGAAAAAATCGTGCATGCTTTTTTTTTTTTTTTTTTTTTTTTTTTTTTTTAGTGGTAAGGTCATCTTGTGCACCGAGTTGTGATAGACCCACCCCCTTCTTCATACTTCAGTACTGGGGAAAGGAAAGAACAAATTACATAAATAAAAGGAGGATCTGGAACCATAATGGAGTTTCTGATAATAAAAAATACACAAAATAGACCAAAGAGAGACTGTGGGAGGTCAGTCTGTTTCTGTGCCACACAGACTAGGCAGGACCCAGCGGGTCATGTATTAAGGGCTGATGAGGCCACAGCACAGTAAAGAAAACAAGGCAATTCACAAGCCTCATGTTGAGAGTGATCATTCCTGCTACAGACAGGGAGCAGGTATAATTTTGTACACCAACAGCAGGAAGCCTTAAAATAGTTTTAAATGATCTTAAGGTGTTAAGGGCAAGAAAGGCCCCAATATTGATCTAGGCAGCCAGGAAGCCAAGTCTAGATTACGGCAAGCAATGCCTGCCCTCCCCAGTGCAGCTCTCCAGCTAGGAAGTGATGGGAGCAACCAAAGTGTGCGAGGGACCTTGGCAGCACAGTTGCAAGGTTGTCCTGTTGCCGGTTATTCCCCTGCAAAGCTGACGGGCTTTAAAACCCTGCCGATTGCCACCGGAAATGTTGCAGCAGAAGAAGCAACACCAAAACAAAAAAAGGCTGAAACCTGCCAGCAGATGTAGTACGTGCCCAGTTCACAGGAGATGTAGTACGTGCCCAGTTCACAGGATGCTTTGGGTTTTTTTTTTTTTTTTTTTTTTTTGACATGAAAAGGACAGCATGGATCCCTGAGTGCTTTAATCACAAATACTGTACCACCAACAAGTGGCGGAACGTGTCATCTCCATTTGCCAGTTATGAGCTCTGCTGAGCCACTTATCTGAGTGCCAAAGAGGTCTCATATATAGAATCACTCTGCTAGCAGTAGGAGAGTAACACTTCATTTCTAATGCTCCTCTCCCTCAAGTCACCCCTTGGTTTTTGCATTTTGTTCCCTTCTCCATCCTCCAATCAAAGCAGGGGCTTGTGAAGACTTCAGGATGCAGTACGGAAAATACAACTACAGAGCTGAAGGTCATGTTGCTGTTTCATTTCCTTGTTTGTTTTCCTCTTTCAGAAAAGCCTGCAGACATCATGACAAGTTCACCAGAAAGTAAGTTGTRATTCTTATTTCCTCTTTAAGACAAGGGAACTAATGAGTATTGGTATGAATTGTTTTGTGCATTTAGATCAAATCTAGATTCATTGCAAAACTGCTATTGCATATTTCCCCCTTGAAAAAATACAGATGTCATAGTTTTCAAAAACTACAATTCTGCATTCAGCATAAAAAGGACAAAGCCAAACAAATCATCTCCTGGCACTATAAACTACACTGCTGATTTTGCATACACTCTTTAATATCCCAATGATACATAAAGCTTATACTTACACAAAGTGTAGGTATTGCACTATTAGCACAATATAAAATCACTTTAACATCCTGAAGCACATTTTTTTGCTCACGATTGATTATTGTTCACAATACAACTAGAGTGGACAACTCCTTAAGCCCAGTTCATCTGCTGGGTCTGTTCTCTGATGTATTGCCCATATTTTGCTCATCAGAAGACTGCAGACCTCAAAAGGGTGCACCAATAATGGATTCCTGAAAAAAAAACATAGATACATACATACATACATGCATACATACATATATATTCTTCTCATCTCTGACTGTTCTCCCTTTTCATTCCCATGAGCAGGATACAAGAATAGTTCTTGCCTCCTAATCCTACCCTTAGTAGCCCTGTTCTCTCTTTTTTTGTTGTTTTTTTTGCGGGGGGGGGGAGGCGGAGAGGGTGACAAGCTTCAAATGTAGTACAAAACTAAGCTCAGGGTCCAGTTCTTAACAGGGTCTAACTTTAAAGGATCTCAAAGTCGGACCCTTAACATACTTACCTGTTCAATGGTCCATATGCCTCATAATAGCACCCATTTCTAGTCTCATCTATTATATTTTTTTCACAGCTGATACACACTTCCCAGGAGGCTTCCTTGTTTGCAATGCAAAGAGTAGGGACAAAGAAGGTGAAGAAAGATCATAACAGAAACATATGGCAGTTTGAAGCAGTGCTCTAATTCTTAGTTGTTTTAACTAGTCTTCTAGCCTGCCTCATTCACCAATTACATTTTTTCTTTGCACTTTTCCTTCAATACCTTAATACTTGGTAGATAATATCTTAATACTTGGTAATCTTAATATCCATGGCAATGGTAACCTCACAGCATGCTGATACTAAGTTAGAGAATGTTTTAATTTAATTAGGAGGCAAGTTACATCAGAAAGACCTAATGCTAAAATCACCTGTTAAACATTACTCTGTGCACATGAATGTTAATGTCATTTCAGATACCACTGCTACCTCAGAAGAATTGCAAGAATCTGGAAATGACAAGATATTGCACATTATTTATGCTGCATTATCCTTGCCTATGTGTTCTCTACTCATCCTCATATGCATATTTTGGTGTTTCAGGAGATACCATGGTGAGCAGTTTTATCATACAATCTCCTACTGTGTGTTTGATTCCACTCCTATTTACAGCTTAAAGTCACTTAAAGCTCCATAAGAATGCTTTAATAATTATACCTTCCAACTGCTGAGATGTTTTCAATCAAGTGTGGTCATACCGAATCTCTAAGAATTTATTTTATCCCATGTACTGTTCGTTCCATAAAGCCAGGAATGGAAGTGACCAGGAAAGGTCCAGCMAGGAAAGGAATTCCTGGAATTCCATTCCAGGAAAGGAATGACTTCTAACCATTGTAAATTTTTGTCCTCTATCTTGCAAACAAACATATTACAAATAAGTAGGAGTATTAACCATGTAAATGGAGTCAAACTCTATTCAGCTACATTTTGCATCCCTAATTTTCCCTAAATTATAGTATAATTACAGTATTAATCTTCCCTGTTTTAAAGGAGCTCTTATACAGCTGCCATCTTCTAAATCAAAAATGGAACTTAGGAGTTCTCTGTGTCTTAACTTACCTGAAGTGATTACTCATTTGCCTATTATGGCTCTGTGAGATTTCTACCTTAGGAAAATGAAATTATATAATCTTTTAAGAATATAACCTTTGCTAACGAGACGGCTTAAAGGCTTTTTCTCCAATTAACTGAATATAAAAAAAATCACTCCCAAATACACTACATTTCTTTTTCTGCTTTTATTCAGAGGGGCTCTTGGGACCCCTCAGAAACTCATTGTACAGATAGAAACTCATTCTCTCAGTGCTTTTATTTGTACCATTGGCTCTTCCTAATTCCAGACTGAATGGCTCTTCCTAATTCCAGACTGGGAATAAATTTCAATTCTTTGAAGTGCATTCAATAAGGCATTCAATAATTTTTGATTTTTTTTTTTTTTCTTCCCAGCAAAGCAGAAGAGAACTCCATTAACTCCACAGAGACAAGACAGCCTGGTATGTTTAAGCACTGATATAATGCAGAACTTGATCCTGTTCTGCATAGCCGCCTACTGACAACATCCCGGTGTAGTATAAAAGTTGGAATAGGACCAAAGACAAATGTAGTGCCCTGGTTGGTGCCTGAGCAGGAGGGCTTCCCCGCTGTGAGATATCACCGTGGCTGAGCCAAGGGAAATTACTAAGGGCCTTAGCCACAGATGGTGCTTAGGCACCTAAACTGGTGTTGAAAAGCATTAATTTGTAACTACTGCTTCAATGAGAGCCTCAACTCTCTTTAGGTAGCTTAGCTACCCAAAGTATCTCTGTGGACATGATTCCAACCGCCTGCCTAAGGCAGAAAATGCCGCACRTAGTGACAGCTGATTGGAAAGGAAGGCTCTCACATGTGGCTGCCACAGACTGACACAGTGCTGGCAAGGGGTCCTCGCGAAACTGAACAGGCAGAAGGCAGAACGCAGATGACGGGGCAGGAGCTGAGGGATATCAGTCAGGAGGGAAGTGCTGGGGGGGACTGCAGGGTGCCGAACAGCCTGCAGGGCTCCTCAGGGGCAAGTTGGAGGAAGGCACATTAAAAGCAGTGTATTTTATGTGGCTAGAAGAGAGGCRTCAAAAGAGTATTTCCTTAGGGAGAGGTGAATTTATAGAGGAATTTGAAGATAGTAGAGAAGGAGATTTACTTGGAGAATAGCAAGACAAAAAGGAGAAAAGCAAGAGATCAGGAAATGGAAAAAAAGAGACAATCAGGAAAAAAAATGACTTCCAACTTCATTTATTTCAAAGATCAATGTAAACACCAAGGGTGAGTTAATTTACCTGTGCTCAAAAACGCTCACCAAATTTATGATGCACTTTTAGTGGTAGAAAGCAAATTAYATTCTTGCACATCTCTTCTTTAGCAGGAGTATGAGTAACACCCTGATGTGCCCAGAGCTGTACTCCCTTCTGTTTCTGCAGGTGGGAGCTCCAGCAGCTATCTCACACCACCCTGCGGGGACAACTCCAGCTTCCGAGGAAAGCTCCTCGCTTTACTGCTCCATGGCCAGCTTGCAGCAGCCCTCTGGAGGCCATACAATCTACGACAAYGATGTCCCTCGGTGGGATGCGCACAGGAGAGCACCTAAAGCACCTTGTAACCACCCTGCGATCCCTTCCACGTCAGCTGTACCTGAAAGCCAAGACGTCCTCATTTATGCTGCACTAGAACATTCTGCTCCTGCAGAAGGATGCCGAAGAAGGGAGYTAATGGTAGAAAATGAATTTACTGAATATGCCTCTGTTAATGTAAAAAATAAACCTGCCCAGGACTCCTCCCGTCACCCACGTTGTGTGCGGTCCCAGGTCTAGCTGCCCTGCAGGACATCCTTCCTTTCACTGGCGTTACTCCCCGCTGGTGTTCTTCCTCTGGTCAGGGGTCTGCTTCCAGCTGAACCTGGATCTGGCTGTGGTTTGAATACAAGCAAAGGGCAGGAGAAGAGAGGGCTCTGCTGSGATATAAACATCTTCATGAATCCATGAAGAAGGTGACACTGAGCCACATCTCCTCCTCCTAAATGCTAAGGATGTTTGTGGGAGAATGTTCGAAGTTTCCTGCACTTTCTAAGGGAACCCTTCCAATGACTGTTCTTCATTTCAGTTTACTCATCTCCTTAGGAAGCTTTTTAAATGTCAAAAATGTCTAATCCACTTACTAATAATAAGCTAGTGAATCMTTCTGTTTGTTTTTTTGTTTGTTGTGGGGGAAGCAGGAGACATTTATTTTCCTTTTACGAAGATTTCATACAAATAATGTGAGAGAATATAGAAATATAATGCTCTCATTTACTATTGATGTGATGACTGATTAGGTAAGTCACTGCATACTGCTTTTCTGTCTGACGAGTGTCAGAAATGGCAGATGATGAGCAGTGACAGACCTTGGTCAAAATGAAAAATTTTTATTTACAAATGTGCCTGTGCCATCCTAAGTTTTCCTCCAAATACTGGTACAAAAATGTGATTATGCTTCATGCTCAGGTTTATGGGAGAGATGATAAAAAGGAGGTAAAAAAATGCCACTTGCACTTTGAAAAGAGCRCTCAAACTCTTCTTCTGCACCGCATACTCAGCTCTAGCTTGAATACCATGCATATTCTCCTGCAAATAATGGTCTTTAAAAAATCACTCTCAGCAATATTTGCATCCAGAGATTTAGAGCAGTAAATAGAGTCTTAAACTTTGTTAAGAAGTTTAGACTACAGTTGGAAAGAAAGGATGTACTAATCTGCTGTTGTCAGCATGTACTTATCACACTGGATGGTTAAATCAATGGAAGAAGGTCAGCCTCCTTTGTGGTCATATTTTTTCTTAGTATTACTCCAGCTAACACCACAGCTGTTAAAAGATGCACACTGACTATGCTACTTTGATCAGATGGCTTATTATTTTTACAGCACATTTGATTTCTCCCTGCCTTTGACCTCAATCACACTATCTGTGCAAAAAATAATCTATGGTTATTGTTTCTGCACTAAGTTGTGAGTTCAAGCCAGCAGTGGCTGATATTTTGCTGTTGTTGTTGTTTTGTAATAAAWATGTAAGTTATCAATCTATTAACTCACTTGTAATCCTTTTTTCATATTTTTTTAAGTAGAAAATTATCCCATAGAAAAGTTTTATTTGCTGTGTTTTAGTGGACCAGCCCTCATATGGTTAGAGGCTAGTTATTTTAGGTGAGAGACTTTTGAATCAAGTTATCTATGATTAGGGAACCTGGAATCGAGCTTTAATTATATTCATTGTGCAGAAGATAGTGTTCAGATTAAGGACAAACTGTCTCTGAGACGGCTTCTACCTTGGTGGTGAAAAACTGAAAAACAAAGATAGCCATTCAATGAATGGTTTTAGGCCTAATGAAGGGCCTAATTGGCTCTGAACACAGGCCTTGCAGAAGAAGGTAAAGTATAACACAAAAAAAGCCTTCCTTTCAATACAGCAGCCTTCCTTCCAGCAAGCATAGGTGAAAAATACCCTTCTTGAAGATGCTTTGCAATACTCTGCCTATGATATAACACATAYCAGGGAGAGCCCCGGATCCATCAGAATTGCTAGGCAGGGAGCTGGGAGCTTGTGTGAGTCCCAGCCCAGCACTCAGGYACCTCCATCCAAGCCAGAGCCAGAAGCACAAGCAGGTCCCTTTGCAGCTGCCCCACAGCAAAGCGCTGGTGCCCAAGACCTCCAACCAGGCCTAGCACATGGGGAGCAAGAACTGCACCACCAAGAAATGCAAGAGCCAGTAAAACCTTAACTTGGCTTGTCTGGGCAAGACGGGGAGCCTTGGCAGAGTGAGCTCCCTAGAGAGCCAACTTTGAGTTGAAAGGGGAGATTTTTGTAGATAAACAGGATGCACCTCACCACCTTACCGTCAAACACGCTAGCGTAGGAAAGGAAAGCACAGGAGCTCTCAGTAGGTGTTTTTTACTTTTTTAAGCAGACAAATCAGAAGACGGTGCCTTTTGAAGCTGGAAAACAGAAGGAGCTCACTAAAGTCACCTACCATTTAAGGCACACATAATCCGTCAGATAAGGTACAGCATCACTCGGTTTTCACTGTCTCTCGAAAGAAAGGTTGTAACTTGCACTCATGTTGCAAAACTGGCTGCAGGAGTGAGCCGACCGTGTAATATTTCAGTTAAGGAGCTGCACATTCATCTCAGTCACCCTCTGCATCTCACAATACCATAATGTGGCATTTGGCACGGCACACCTAGCACCACTTACATTACGGCTCGGTGGTGGCCTGCAGATTTTACAGGGCAACATCCTCTTGAGAAGGCAGGATACCAGTAGGATCAGTGCGATCTCATGATTTATCCTGCCTACGGGCTCTGCGTGTTACTAAAATAAGCAAGTACTGGGGTTACTAAGAATATCCTTTCACACCATACAACCACTACAGGGCACTGAAGCAGAGAAATAACCGGTTTAGGATCCAGCCTGTGGGGAACGTGCAGCACGTGTGCAGTCCTCCTACCTCCTGTGCRCTCCTCCATTACCCTAGGGCTTCCTACCTACATCAGATAATGCTCTACCCTTGACTTTCACTATTTTTGCAACAAACTGCTGTATAGGTACAGTCACACAGGAAGCTAGAAGAACACATACAAAGTAGGGCTGCTCTCAGTTAAACCCACAAACCCACAAGGAAAGAAAACAGCAAAGTCCATGGAGCTGAAAKCTTGTAAAAGCCAGCCAAAGTTCACGCCTGCTTTTCACTGCAGTCCCTGTGACCTTTTCTTGCAAGGGAGGAACCCGTAAGTGCGCTGCCTGACCGCTCCCTCCACAACCCACACATCACATCGGCCTCTTACGAACTCGAGTGGAATGAGTGGGCCCTTTGGACAGAGGAAAACATGCCAAGCCATATAGTTTCAGTTGCCTCAGTTTCTCCCCCCCCCCCAAAAAAAACTTACCCACCACTGTTAACTGTGCTACCTGCACAAACAAGGCAGCTGGCTCTTAACAAGAGGGAAAAGGGGCAGCAGAGAGTTGGAAAGAGAGGCAGTTGGATGCCTTATGCCTAAGCAGACAGGCCTCACACCCAAAGCCCTGCTCCCAGTGTTCTCGCCATTCCCTGTGCTGTTGGATAGGATCTTTCCAACACCGGGGTGAGTGCTGATTTTCTGTAGGTCTCCCTATATCCCATGTCTTAACTGGGGAGTAGAGTTAGCAAGCCTGGAGCTGAGTGCTGCRAAGAGGCCACCCCACCAGAGCAGGTGCACAGACAGGTTCAGGGATGATCCTGACCAGTATCCATTTCCCCATCCAGCTSCCCTCTCCAGGTTCCTCATTCTGCAGACTCCACATCTCAGTTTCCCTACCTCATTTAGTATCAACAAACACCACTCCACRGAATTAATAACAGAAGACAGGAACCAACAAGCAGAAGGGGGCCTGAGACAAGACAGACGAGCAGATTTTGGAGGAAAATAGAGGGGAGGAGGGGGAGGTCTGAAGAGGTGCACGGAGGGCCACAAGAATCTAGAGGACAGCMGAGTCAACTACACAGCTAGCTGTAAGCAGCAGCTCACGTCCCTCAGGCCAGACAGGGACTTGCACGATGGAGTGCAGTACCTTCTTTTTTTTTWAAATTAATTAATTAATTTATTATTTTGTGGAAGTTGTTTAACTTGCAAATACTACTTTCCATGAAAAAACTATCTTGGGGGCATAGTCATGTGCATTTTCTGTTTGCCTAATGAAAGGGAAAACACCTAAGAACCAAACAAACCCACATTACTCTCCTAGCAGGTCACTGACATATGTCATCCACGTGAACTGACTGCACAGATACCCTTCAGTTTCATACAAGTGACTTTACTACTTTCTACCCTCTACTTTCCTACCTACTACATTTAAGTATCTAGCATGAGCTTAAATCATAAAATGCTATTTCTCTTTCTCCCTCTAGAAATTCATGGAGGAGATATTACTGACACAGTTACTGTAATATAATTACAGAAACAGGAGTTAATATTGGAAACAGAGCTTGTTAACTGCCTAAGCATATGAAACAGAGGAGTCTATGTTTTCTTGGACTAATAGAACTATGCATGTCTCTCAGAACTGATTTAGGCTTTGTCTTTGAGAGAAGACATCTGTGATCAGATGAACTCTGAGTAAAGAATATGTTTGGCATGACGTATAATGAGACACACATCACTACAGTGGCAGCCACTGTCATGGTAGAAGGGCAAAGTTCAAAAACTGCCTTATGTGATTTGTGGTTGTAACATCACGGTCAGGTCCCCCATTTGGGACCTCACAGATGCAGAGAGAAGTCAGTTATCTTGCTCAAAGGTTGAAAAGCCTCTGACCTATCAGTTTCCTCCTCTCTAGTCTGGGAACGTGCTTTATTAAAGAAGTGGTCTCACATCATAAGCAAGTGAGGGAAGTGATAAACATGCTTTGATTTATACCTGCTTTTCATGAGGTTGAGGTTCAGGTTGGGCAGAAAGAGCTTTCAGTGCCCATGCAAGGCATTCATCTTCCAGTGTGGCTTCCCTTCTTTCCTCGGAGAGCTTTAGAGCTTTATGTTTGTGAAACCAAAAGACAAATCAGGAACAAGTYACACTGGAGATGGCCGTGGGTAGAACAAGAGCAGGCAGCTCTCCCCTGGGATCTGGGGAGAGGGGATCTGCATTTCTTCCTGAGAGATCTCTGGTGATGCAGCCCTTTCCAAAACGCCAACTGCCACCGAGATGTGCGAGCTGAAAAATGCACAGAAAGAGACTTGAACTGTGTAGCAGTTCAGGGTGGAAGGCTTCGTTTTCTCATCATTTTGGCAGTATCTGTCTTGTGACAAGAGG